AGACAACAAGCTTATTTAAGAAGAAGAGGAAGAAATATATGAAGGCTATTTTGTATTTTCATCATCATTAATTAATAATCACCAGTTTGATGATGATCAAAATGATGAGAAAATTGAACAATTAATTATAAAAGGAAAACCAAGGGATGAGAACAATTTGATAATGAAGAAGGGAGTAGTTAAGGAAATTCATCCATTCTATGGAGAAGTCTCATTGAATAGAGGTTCTTTTGAGGGAATGGAAGGTTCTTCAGGAAAGATTAGTTTCATTGTAAAGAAAGGTAAACAATTTAGAAGAATTTGTTTTGCTGCCTGTAAGGGAGATGTACAGAATGAACAGCTTTTCAAATTGGAATGGAAAATACATCAAGATATTGAACATAGAGGATGGAATTTTGTTGAAATTGATGGACGATTGGAATTTTCACATTTGGGAAAAGATGAAGAGTGGATGAATGAGAAACTTACGAATGAATATATTGAAGATGTGGAGCCAATTGTTGAAAAGTTTATCAGTTCGAAACTTGAAATGATTTCTGTATTGGGAGCTTACAATTGGCAAAATATCTTGTCCTATCTCCATGTGAAAGATTTGAATACTTGCTATCAAACTTGTAAGATAATGAGAGAGTTGATTTCCTCGAGAGATTTTCTTATCAAGCTCATTGAATCTCAGTGTATAACATTACCAGAAATGTACTATCAGGAATCTCAAAGAAATTTAAAACATTGTAAGAAAATTGACTTGTTGAAGCTGTACTATGACAGAAGAGATAAGCTTAGTTGGGGAAGAAAGTTGAATGGAAGTTATATCATTTGGTTGAATGAAAATTATTGGAAAACCAAAAAGTCATCAAGCAGTGTATTTGGAAAGATTATCAAACTGAGTTCTGTTTGGTGGTTTGACTTTGGAGCAACCTTAACTCTGAGAAGAGGTCGTTACAAGGTTTCACTCCGTTACAAAACCACTTCTAATGCTTGTGGATTGGCTGACAGTACTTTTAATATCATGCAACAA